TCCAATTTTTGATGATATGGCATCTTTTAATTGAGAAACGTTGAAGGGCACAAGAAATATGGACACCACCAAAAATGGCCCATGACATGAACCAGCCCATGTGGCTCGACGGTCGGCCCAAAAATGGGTTTGGCCAGAGCCTCGAGACGGGCCAACTCGAGCTTTTTCAGGACTGTGCCACTGGTGACCCAAGTGGACGAGCCAAATTTGCACCCCTATTTTCAAGTCATGCACTTATATAACGGACAAATTGGATGGAAATTGACGGAAATGACATGTGCAAAAGTAGGTGGAAATGGGAATACAGATAATAGGAATGAAACAATAATAACACTACACTAGTCTAGTTTTCAACTTTATTTATACTTAAGCTATATCGGTCAAATATCTCAGTATCATACTTTCTTTCATGTAAAAAATCGCTAATATTTGGTCTAGTTCTGATATTAGATACATATGATATGGTAATTATCCTTGTTGGGTAGAATAATACAAGAATACTCTCAATTTCTTTTTGATATTGATGAAGTGGTGGAATCGGGAATTTTTCTTTGAGAGAGAAACAAACATTTGAAACAATGTATTACTAGTGAATTCATTTCAATACATTGCTACAGTTATTAAGAAGACATTTTCATACTTTGAAAATGTTATGTAATTACAACTTAATCAATTTTTCTAAATATAATTTTCTCAATATATTAAACAAAATTATCATTCAATCATTGATCTTCAAGTTGGTTGCGTAGACGAGTTTTTGACAAGATTCATTGCCGAAAAATGTTAGGATAATAATGTAGCTTACTATTTTTAATATTTGTTTAATTTCAAGATTCCATGCCACCTTAATACCTGTTAATTATTTATTGTGCGTTTAATGCTTCAATTATATGCGCAATAATTGATCAATTTAGGGATAACACTGATATTGAGTGGTGATGTATATTCTAGCCCATGCAATAATTAACCTAGATATTATAAGGAATCGAGAGATAATTATAGGCTATGCAATCTATATAAAATTTTTGTAGGTTAAAGCATTCATATGTCTATAAATTTAAATAGAAATATAATAAATTCGGGGCATATTTACAGAATTAGTGTTATTTGAGAGCGATCACTAGCTACAATAAGTTAACTCGATTGTTGACACGTATGAAAAGGTACTGCATGAATTGAAATTAGATGAACGTTAACAAACTACGTGAAGTCGGAATCCTAACCATTTAACCCCATAATTTTCTCAATTGGATTTAATTAGATTATTTAATTTAGTTCAAGTATAGCTACAAAAGACATCTTGAATTAATTTTTGTTATCGTTTTAATATAAATTGAAATTAAGTTAGTTTAAGAAATTGATAGTGGATAGTAGTATATGTGAAGAAGCTATTGAATTAAAGATTCATTTTATTACTTACACAATTCGTACACTTGCGAAATTACACGAACAAATTTATGGCACCGGTGTGGGAGACTAATTTGTTTTCTTTAGTTTTTGTTGTTAATTCTGGCTTTTATTCAAGTTTTCCTTTTTTCTTAGATGATCTACTTGTTTTTCTTGATTTTATTGACAGAAAAACAAAGGAAGCAGTAGCACAGCAACAACATGAGATGGGAGATTTCGAAATTAATGGAGATTGCATAACTATAGGGAATTTCTCTGCCCTAGCACTCTTTAAAATGAATGGATATGATGCATTTGTTGAAATTGATTATGACTTGCTTTGAGTATTATAGGGACTACAAGGTTTTCAAGTACAAGGTGAAAGTGAAGTTGATGAGGATGATTTGTAATAAGATTATTATGGACATCACTGGAATATCCAGTATAACACAATCCATAGAGCAAACATACAATCAAAGTTTGGAGCAACTTTCAAATCTCTATTGGCCTGAAGGTTTAAATATTGAAACCCCACTAATCTTCATAAATGATGTGAGCGTACTCACGAAAATTTCCTCGTACTTGGTCAAAGAAAATTGAAGCCTCAGAACCAATCTAACTGTGATATCTAATTTGTTTTCAACATTTCATTAATGTTTTTAATATTGAATTTTCTTTGGCACTCATATTCATGGTTGTTGCATTTAATCACTAGGAGGCTACTAGTTTATTGTTTGCTGAAATCTATAGCTGAATTGAATATGAATCCGTAATCATTTGATCCCTTTAACTTGTAAAGCAACTAGGATTTAATGATTTGCTGCGTCAGAGATTGTTAAATCTTAGGAAGAACGTTTGACTAGGTTACTACAACCGCCTGTAGTTGTGTTGTTTAGCTTCATCAATCTGTCTAATTATTAATGCTGTTACTAGATTAAATCTATCGTGCTTGTTTTGGGTTGTTTAGTGATTAAGGTTAGTTGGTTTGCTTGTTTCCTAATTAAATACGATTAAGGAGAGATAGGAAAATATTTTCCTCGACCAATATTCACAAGATGAATTGATATATACTTGCATCTACGATCAGTTGTAAAGTTCCGATTGTGGTTGTTGACTTAGATTAAAGTTTTTTCTCTCGATTGTTTTTGACACTCTAATTTGAATTGTTCGTAGTTAATTTCTTTAAAAGTGCTTGCGTTATAATCAAAATCCACCAATAATTGTAGCCATGTGATGGATGAAGGTATTATTTAAATCACCCTCCTTAAGACATTATGTTCCACTTATGGAATTTAGCAAGAAAATTGACAGCCTCAAGGGATTTAGCAGTCCTCTTCCCAAAAAATCATATTATTCTTCCAAATCTGACACAGTTGACCGAGTCCACATATCATTTGCTTCCATAAGCATGGAACTTAGTCAATTATGCAATGACTTATTTACATGCTCGTTAAAGGGTTAGAATAATGGTCCTTGAACATGGGCTTTTGAGAGGGATGGGATGATAGGGTGGGGTAGCAACACCTGAGTGGATTTTTATTTTTATTTTTTTTTAAACTGTCCAATTATGCATTGATATGTATCTCACTTATTTTTGAATCTATCATTGAACTTGTCATTGTAGCATGATCCTGAGTGTTATGTTGTAGGTTTGGTCAAATTTGGTCAAATAAGCACTTCTGAATGAATATTTAGGAATTATAGGAAAGATAATTTATCAAGTGGAGTAATTTTTATTTATTTATTTATTTTGACATCAATATGCTACCAAAAATTGCCCCAAAAAGACATTGTGCTTGTAGCTATTTTAAGTAGTTTACCTTATATGATAATGGAGTCTGAAAGTAAAATGAGATACAAATAGATAATTAAGGATAAACCAAATCTGTGATTGTTTCTTGACCACCAACATAAATCCAATTCCCCCTACCCCCATCAATATACTTAGTTGAGTTGATGGATAAAAATGCTCAATTTTTGCACATAGAGCCGCAGCATTGAATTTGAAAGTGCAACTGCTTGTACTTTCCTTTTTATTCTCCTCCTCCATTTCAACATCAACTTTTTCTGTAGGATTTACCTGCTCCATTTTTACACTAGAAAATGTCTCTGTTAAAGGAATAAATCTCACATCGGTTAAATACAGAAATGTCAACCTTATTACGATGGACCACAAATTTTAACATAGTATTAGAGCCCAGTAAGTTCCAACGAACTATTTGATCCGATTAAATCTCAAAAATGAGTACATGGATTTCAAGATTAATTTGCTCAAAAAAGAGCCACTATCTTATAGGGGCATATTAAGGGAATAAATCCCACATCGGTTAAATACCGAAATGTTGACTTTATTAAAACAGACCCCAAATCTTAACATATTCCACATGATAATGAGAGGAATAGTAAGTTTTTCGAGAATGTGTGGTTAAACAAGAAAGAAAAGTTTTTGAGTTTAAGTTTAATATTATTTTATTGGAGAATGTGTGGTTGATAAGAAGAGAGAGAGAAATGAATTATAATTTAATGGGAATAATGGCAGGCCAAACGGTGTGTAATTGTTTTGAATGTGTTTTTCCATTGCTTTACAATAACTTGTGTAGCAGTAATATTGTGTCTTTTTCTTAGATAGGTGGTGGATGAATGGTGTTGGTGCAATGAAATCTATAGCTTTTATCCAGAATTATACTAACTCTAATTTTGCCAATCAAATAGTGCCTAACTCTAATAGTAGGATTATGTTCGACTGAAGAAATAATCCTTATTCGGCACACAAACAACGCTAAGTTGTTTTGAATTAATCCTTCATTTTTCGAGGTGAAAAGAAAAGAAAACAATATGAAAAGTCAACTAGCACACCGCATGCACATTGTATGCTCACGATATGTACACTACATATTTGCTACGTTCATCTCTTCACAACTTTACATGCTGCTGATATTGCATGTTGTGGTTGATACGTGCCTGGTGATTTAAGCAAAAGTTTTACTAATGAATCTGGCAAAAATGAAAAATAAATTCATTATCATAAAGTTACCTAAATTGCAACATTTTGCTTACAAGACAAACCTGGGCATGTTCATATATGTGACAATCCAGAAATAGAGACAGTGCACCATAGTTAGGTAAGCCACGAGGCACTTTAAACTGTTGGAGTTGTAGGACAACTTACTTCAATGTAGAAGGAGTAGAAAACAGTTGAAGGTGCAAAGAATAGTCACATGCATCATTTTCACAAGGTCAATCTTTGTGCCAGAATACCATAGTTAATCTTTTTGCCAGAATACCATAGTTCAGGGATAAAAATAAATAAATAAATAAATAATAAATCCTCGGCCAGACCTTGTTTGAGTAGCAATCACGCCTGTGAAAGTGAAACAACGTTGAATTTATCTTCATGTGAGTAAAATGAAGGGTTGAGATCTTCCTTGTCAGATAATAAACCTTATTGTATGCCCTGCCTCTCAGCTCGTATTCTGGAGCCAAAGAAATAATATATATGCTTATTTAGAACCCACCATTTGACTCCAGTTGGAAAGAGTAATTACCTTGTCCTAATACCTTTGGTATTTTCAGCTGTTTCTCCCTCACGTAGTGCTAAGGAAGATGGTTCAAGGCTTGCAATTTCGATTATGCTTTTGCATTGTTCTGCACTAGCAAAATTTGGAAAGTATAATGCCCGTGGATTCCAGCTCAAAATCTGTATCGGAGAAATCAGGGAACAAGAATATGATTTAGAGGTAAAGGAAAAGAAAGCAAATACTTATAACCATCAGATTGTGTGGCTGATGTTTAGGGTTATACACATTAACAAGAACTGTGGTTTCAAATTTGTTTGTAGCTTATCATTGAAAAGTTCAATTCTTTTTTCAGTTCCATTTTTACGAGAAACCAACAAGCATTGGAAATCTATTAGTTGCAGTGGAGGGATTTATATAATGCATTTGAAATATGCTTGAAAAATCCCTTTGGATTTAGCTAGTCTCAGTGCAGAGGATTCAAATTTCATTTCATCACTGAAGATTTGCCCAGAAATTAGAATTAGAATTCAAATCAAAACTCACCTGAAAAGGGATCGAAGTGAGAGAATCCTCTCCAGTCTTTCCCCGTTGTAGAACATCATCTTTCTTCTTCGTCTTCTCTTCGTGCAGTCCCCGAGGCCAAGTCCTTAAAGAAGTACTTGACACTCCCTGCCACGCACATAATCAACATATTAGCCCACAAAGCCTAGCTACTAAATTTGCTATCTTCCCAAACGAGTTAGATTATTGCAGGGAGATAAAGATAGATGCATAAAATAGAAATTGAAGGGACCTGCTGAGAGAAGAGACTAGAACCAAAGAAGAGTGTCTCGATCACACTCTGTCCCTTGTTTTGGGCAGTGGCTTGGGATTCTTTGGATCAAATTGTCATCTGTAAATTTTATATGCTATAAGGTGATTAATTCACAGTTTTAAATGATGTGATCTTAGTGACATGCTCTAATTTTCAAACTACAAGTCCCACCACTTCTCAACTGTATTTGTTCTTGAAAATACCCTAAATAAAGGGAACAATTCTCCTTTCTAACCATTTGTTTCATATTAAGAAGAAATAGATGTGGCAAACCAAGAAGGAAAGCCATCACTTCTCAAAATTAGTCAGGCAAATCTCGAATCCTTGAGTCACAAAGAAGAAGAAGAAGAAGAAGAAACAGATATCATATAAATTAGCACTTATATCATTATGTAAATGAATTGCAAATAAAAACATATATGAATTTGTTAAAATTATTGAAAATCTTTCTTACCCTCTGTTTGTCACTCATTATTTGACGAAATAAAGAGTTTTGAATAGTATGTGTTGGAGAATGTATGGTTAAAATGTAAATAAACTTCATTAATTTGTGTGTAGAATATTTTATCATGTGAATGTATGGTAAAAAATGATACTGTAGCAAACAACTTAAAATTTTAAAGGCCGTCAAACAGGCCTTTATTTAAGCCCTGTTTGAGCCCCATTAATTCGAAAGAATATATTGTGGAATAGTGATTGATGGAAAATGTGCAGTTAAAAAAGAAGCAAAAAAATTTTATGCATAAATTCTGGCTACCCAAGTGGCAGCATGAGTTATGCAGTATACAGGAATTTTGACAATCCAAATTCAGACAAATAAGCATTACTTTAGTTGTCCAACACAATAATAAGTCATGCAAGGTAACATAATGAGGGATTCTTTCCTCCCTTCAAATTGAATTCCACAGCATGTGAATGTGTAGTTTGCTGTTATAATCTAATTACTGGCGAATATTTTTTTCTTGATTGTGAATACAAAGAAAACTTTGAGTCTGATTAATTTAGTGTCTTGGATTGATTTGGGTTTAGTCGTATTATACAAAAAAAACAGAGATGCTGAGGATGTCTCAAGAGAAAATTGAAAACCTTTAATAATCTTTTGGGTACTAGAACCACACATTATTGACACTCCAATATGTTTGATGAACGTGTTTCATGATCCTTTACGCTAATGTCCAAATAAATGTACAAAATAAACTATTATATACCTACCTTGAATGAATCCAAATTGATTAGTTGACACTATTTTCCTGGGTTGAACCATCAATCTGTTTGCCAGTGTCTTAGTGATGATTTTCAGAAGAAAGTTTGTGACGACAATAGGACTAAATTGATCCGAAAAATTTGCTTCCTGCAATTTTTGTATTAAGATCATGAAACTCGAACAAATTCTAGTCATGAGTGAATTATATAGCCCTGTCAAGATGTCATTCCACTTGGTCATCAAATGTTCATTGATTGATATTGATGGTTGCTGCATATTTTAAGGTTATTCTAGAATTCACGAGAATTGCATTGGGGAGCAAGAAATCTAATAATAAATAGAAGTCCCGAGAATTTCCTAATGAGCAAGCAAAACAAAACAAAATATATAAAATAGAAATTTTTAGATTCCATAGCGACTAAGTAAAATTATTTAGTAGTTGCTTCCACAGCCATTGCTTCCACTTTGAAAATTTTGTAGCCAATTGAATTAGAAAGAAAAAGCCTCAAGCCTCTCATTGTAATAAACCCACTTTGTAAAATTATATTCTAGTAAACTACAAATTCCTGCTTTCACTATTTAGTCCATTAAAGTTTATCCTTATTATTTTCAATCTATAAAAATTATCCCATACAAAACCTACTAAATCATGTAATCTATTGATTGCAGAAAACCTTCAATTCACTAGGAACATGGGACAATTAGAAGAATTGAAAAATTCTTAATTTTTCATTTATAAAAACCAATTTACAATGAACCCTAATTCTAACTTTTGAAGGAAAATAATAAGCCCTAACTTAGTATTCTAAGAAAAGACAAATTCTAGAAACCTAATTGAAACTGATTTCCTAACAATTAAATGAGGACATGAATAAATAAAATTCAATTTTCATCTAAATAATAATGTTTGAAATTTGACAGCTGAAACGATGGATTTAGCAAGAAAAAGGGTGGCGTCAAGGGATTTAGCGGTCCTCAGTAGCTTGTTTCTACCCAAAAGTCGTATTATTCTTCCAATTCCAGCATGGATGACTGGGTCCACATATTCATTCGCTTCTATATTTGATTGCTTCGGCATGGAACTTAGTTCATCGTGGCATGACATTTTTACGTGCTCATTAAGGGGTTGGGTTGTGTATTTGGTCTAATAATGGCTTCTAAATGGTTAATTTAGGATCAATGAACCAAACATGGGATGTGTTTCTTTATCACCTACATAAAATCCAATTGCCACCACTTCCACCAATATACTGAATTCATGGATAAAAATACCCAGCTATTCGCACACATGCAGCATTGAGATCTGGGCACAAACTCTGACACGCTGCAGCATTGAATTTGAAAGTGCCACTGCCTGTACATTCCTTTTTCTTCTCCTTCATTTAAGAATCATCATTTTCTATAGGATTTACCTGCTCATGTAGACAAAATAAAAATTGTTTAGAATCTGTGAATTTCCATTGCATTTCAGTACTTGTGTCAGACTTAGATTGTGTGTGTCTTTTTCTAAGAAATGTGGTTGATGAATGGTGTTGGTGCAATAAAATCTGTAGTTTTTATCCAGAATTTTAGTAACTCTAGTAATGGGAATGGGATTGTATTGGACTGAGAAAATAATCCTTACTGGACCGCACACACGAGTGATCGATGATTTCATCGCTTGCATACATACAAACAATGCTCAGATGTTTTGATCGAATCCTCATTATTTTGTGGTAATAAGAAAAGAAAACAATACGAAAGGTCAACTATCACACCACAAGCACGTTTTATGCTCACGATTTGCACGCTGCATATTCTTTGTCTACCATTCACAATTGTACATGCTGCTAATATTACCTACAAGCTGCTGTTGGATAGGGTAGTACTGCATGTTGCTGTTGATACATGCCTGGTGATTTGAGCAATAGTTTTACTAATGAATCTAAGAATAACTTCATTATTTTAAAGTTACCTACACTAAAAAGACAAACCGGGCCATGTTCATATATGACAATTCAGAATTAGAGACCGTTGTTAGGTAAGCCATGAGGCAGTTTAAATTGTTGAAGTCGAAGGACTAATTACTTCTATGTAGGCTGAGCAGAATACAATTCAAGGTACAAAGAATAGCCACATGCAGCATTTTCACAAGGTCATTTTTTTGCCCAAAACCCAGAGTGGGGGAAAAAAAGGAAAGAAAAAAAAAATTCCTCCGCCAGTCCTTGTTTGAGTAGCTATCCCACTGATGAAACAATGTTGAATCCATCTTCGTGTGAGTAAAATGAAGGGTCAAGATCTTTCTTGTCAGATAATAACTTCAACAGAAGAAAAGCAAAGCTGTACGCATTAGTCTTATTGGATACCCAGCCTCTCTGCTCTTATTCAAGAACTATGTATCCATAAATTCCAGCTGCACGAGTGGTAGCATGAGTTTTTGTGGTATACAGAAATTTTGACAATCCATGTTCAGACAAATAAACGTTTCTTTAGTTGTCCACAAAATATTACTAGGCTTGATGTCTATGTGGATTACACTGGTGGTGCAGATAAGATAATGCAGAGGCAATATCGAGGGCAGTCTTGTGAGTTTTTCTCCAATCAAATGCTCTTCTGGATCTTCCTTCAAAATATTTTTCTAGACTACATTTCTGAGAATCTCGAATGGGATTTGCAAAGATGAGTAATTCTCATAGGTCGTTCGCTTACAAACAGGTTATTTATCCTTAAAAGTGGGCCAAATTGAAAGGAATTTCATTGTTACTCAAATTGACTTTCCAAAGATTTAGCAGAGTGTAATGTTATAAACAACTATGGCACTTGGAAACATGTTAATCAAATAAAAACAAGCCTCGGGCTGGGAAGAAAATAAAAGAAAAAGGGGGGGGGGG